CGGTGGGAGTGCCACTGCGCTCCCAAGCGGCACACTCTCCAGTGCGCCACCGGGCCGGCCCTATGTTGAACTTTCAAAAGGAGAGAACAGAACTGTGGTTACCAGAGATAGGAAAGGGGGTGGGGGAGGGAAGGTAAAAGGTTACCAGAGGTGGGGAAGGAGAAGGTGGAGGGAAGGTAATGGAATAATTGGAAAAGGGCCATGGAAAACAATTACACAGTATAATGTTGAAATGCTAATTATGAGGGATATTGGCCAAAGGATACAAAGTTTTAGTTAGACAGAAGGAATAAGTCCTGGTGACCTATTGTACAGTATGATGCCTATAGATAATAGTAATGTAATGTACATTTTTATTTTTTTATTTTATTTTATTTTTTTTCCTTTTTGTCTTTTTTCGTGACCGGCAATGGATCGCAACCCTCAGTGTCGTGCCCGTACCGGACCGGGACCGGCATCGGGATCGCAACCCTTGGTGTTGCTCCCGCACCTCGCTCAGCCAGTGAGCGGCCGGTCTGTATGTGGGATCCGAACCCTCGGCGGGAGCGCCGCCACACTTCCCAAGCGGCGCACTGTAGCAGTGTGCCACTGGGCCGGCCCTGTAATGTACATTTTTAAAAGCCAGAAGAGTGGATGTTAAATTTTCTCATCAAAAAGAAATGATAAGTATGTGAGGTGGTGAATATGCTAATTAGCCTGATTCAGATAATTCCACAATCTATACATGTATCAAAATATCACATCATACCCCGTAAATATATACAATTATTATTTGTCAATTAAAAATAAAACTTGTTCAGATCCACATACTGGCCAGCTGCCAAATAATAAATAAATAAATAAAATAATAAAACTTTAAAAACATCAAGCAGTATACCTTTCAAAAAGATATATTTTTATAAAAGTATACAGGGCTTTCTTTTGACTGATTTCTCAGTCTTACTCACTTTATTCATTTTTTATTGCTGACTAACAAATTACCACAAACTTAGTGACTGAAAACAACACATACTAATGATGTCGTAGTTTCGGTGAGTCCGTGCTTCAGACACAGCTTAGCTGGGTTCTCTGCTTCAGAGTCTCACCAAAGCTCCAAGCAGGGTGACAGCTGGGCTGGGTTCTTATCTGGAGGTTCGACTGGGGAAGGATTCTTTCTAAGTTCACTCAGGTTTTTGGCATAATTCAAGTCTTTGTGGTTGTAGAAGTGAGGCCCTCAACTCCTATGGGCGTCCCTCAGTTCCTTGCCATGTGGACCTCTCCATGGGCAATTCACACACTGGCTTCTCACTTCTACCAGGTCAGCAGAAGTGTGGATCTTCTCTAAGCTAACATAATCAAGGGAGTGACAGTAACTCCCCTTTGCCATATCACCCACACTCAAGTGTGGAGATCATATAAGGGTGTGAATATGAGAACTCAGGGATCGTAAGGGGTCACCTTATACTCTGTGCACCACACTCAGCAAGTACAGTTATAAATTCAAGTAAATTTTACTAGCTTTAAGCGTTTTCAGTAAATTTTTATCTTAAAATTCTTATTTTAGTCATTCTTAACCCTGCAGTGAAAGAAAAGAGGAAGCTTTGTACTTATTCTTCCTGAGTACAAAGCACAGATATAAATACAGTATACAAACAAATATAGAGTATATCTGAGTTATTCAATTAATAATATTTAATATTAATATTAATAATATATTGATTAATATTAATAGTAATTGAATAATATTAATATTAAGCACAGGTATAAATACAGTATATAAACAAATGTAGAGTATATGTGAGTTATTAAATTTCATGGTGGGGCTATTATGGGTTAAACTGTATGCCTCCAGAAATATATGTTGAAGTCTTAACCCCTAGTATCTCTAAATGTTACCTAATTTGGAAATAGAGTTGTTACAGAGGTAATCAAGTCAAAATGAGGTCATTGGGATGGTCTCTAATCTGATATGATGGTTGTTCTTATACAAAGGGGAAATTTGGACATTGTATTAGTCCATTTTTGTTGCTTATAACAAAATACATGGAATGGGGTGATTTATAAAGAAAATGAAATTTATTGCCTACAGTTTCTGAGGCTGGGAAGTTCTAAGTCCATCTAGTGGTGGCAACAGGGACCCAGGGGTCTCACATTAC